TACCCAAAAATATATTTTACCTGCATTCCTGTACCCTGCACACAAATCCTGGGAAGAAGGGGACAACAATCACTGTTACAGAAGAGGCTTTCCAGTTCTGCTGTAGCTCCAATGTCCTATCCAACCTGAAACACCAACCTGTGATGATCCCCGTATCTCGCTAGTGAATCTCCTACCACATCCTGGTACAAAGACTATCAAAACATGGTATTCCTTTCCTGTCCTCCTTGTCCAAACACCTAATTTAACACAATGCAAGCTTTTTTTTTTTTTCATATCTTTTTTCTAATTTTTTTTTCCCCAGGAGAACAAGCTCCATGGTTGGTTTCATCTCGGAGTCCAGCAACTAAAGCATTAGACCTTTTCCATGAATGAAGCCAACCAAAAGGTTATCTAGGTTAATTATGCCTATTAATAGATTATGTATGTATATATATGTATTTTTGTATACATATTTTGTAAGAGTCTATGGTCTCAGCATAAGGGGATGCTGAACAATAGCAGCTGAAATTTTCAAGTAGTCTTCTTCTCAATCCTCCTTGCATAATTACACTCTGCTGAAGTAACGCGATATGGAAATAGTAACTAGATGGAAATTGAAGAACATAGAATCATAGAATGGTTAGAGTTGGAAGGGACCTTCAAGATCATCCAGTTCCAACCCCCTGCCCTTGGCAGGGACACCTCCCACCAGACCAGGTTGGACATCCAACATGGATATCCATCCCCCAATATGAAATTTCTACATGTTTTGGTAATAGTTTAGCAACTGAATTTCATACTACTTTCATTACATTCCTCCTTCTTTAAAAGGAAAGACTGAAGGTGACATGTTGTTTACTGTTTTAATAATAGAAGTTTTATGACCATTCTTGTTATTCAAGTGATACACTGTTCATTGTAGGTACTGGAAGAAGTTACTCACTGAAGGATGCTATCTTATGAAGTTACTTTTAGGTCAAGTTTGGAAAGAAAATAAATGATCACAGCTTTCTGGAAAACACTTAAAGGCTGTATTCTATACCTCTGACCGGGAGGATATATTTATTGTAGCCTCTAACACATAAGAGACCTCTTACTGAAATTAACTGGTACTTGATACTTGATGTGTCCAACCCTTCAGGGAGAGACTAAGGGTTGTGGTGTGCTGGTATCTACTGGGCTTGTAGCTCACCTGGGACACAGCAGAGGCTACACCATAGCCCAGTCACAGCCACGATACACCAACTGGAATTATACACCCGATGCAATGGCCATCAACTCTTTCCACAGATGAGAAAAAGAACTAAAACGGGCTATAACTACAAAAAGGAAATGGGAAAGAAGAAACCGAAGGCAACTGAACAACCTCGTGTCACATAAGCAATAAAGAAATATATAGATTTAAAAAAAATTACAGAGAGTTAAAAAGAGATACTTATTAGTGCTAAAACAACTCTCTGTAAGAGCTTCCAATGTCTGTCTTTTATGCCGTGTACATGAGAAGTCTAAGCAAAATCAACCCAGAAAGCAAGGAACAGACAGCATTGCAAAGATTCACATACTACATCTTCATTTATATTATATCCATAAGTTCCTTCACGCAGATACATGAACTTTCCACCAACTGCAGGAGCTGCTTGCTGGCACTGGACTGCCTTCATAGTTTTGGGAACATGAAAACATTTCTCTCTTCTGGAGGGGTGGTGGTGGGTGTAAGGGAAATCTTAAATATACCCCAACATTTAGTTATTAACCTATTCAAACATTTGTGTCCCGTTTTAATATCAAAGTAGAGCAGATTGCCGCTAGATAATCATCAATTCTGGGAAAACTAGCAGCAAAAGGAGATCTTAAACATACCCCAACATTTAGTTATTAACCTATTTAAACATTTGTGTCCCATTTTAATGTCAAAGTAGAGCAGATTGCCGCTAGATAATCATCAATTCTGGGCAAACTAGCAGCAAAAAAAGGTAAATTTCCAGTTTCAAGAGAGAAATTAAAGTTACTTTAAAGGCAGACTCATAAGTGTACATTACAATGGAGACCTGCAGCCTTAAATTTTTTTCCAAAAATACAACCACAACAGTTGCCATGCCTCCAGCTCTGGCTTTCTCCCTTCATTTGCGCTGCTCTCTTCTGAAATCTCATTTCAACTACTCTGCATCTTCAAATTAAAGGGGATTTTGTCAACGTGACCTCAGCTCCCCTTCCTGGTTTTCTTAAACAGAAGATACACTGGACAGATTTAACACTTCACATTCACATCAGCTGTCTGTGCTAGCAGTGGGAGAGAGAAAAAAAATCCTCCCTCCTTCCTCATCCCAGCTGAGACACCTTGGACCACAAATTATTTGCCTTTTTTTATTACGCTTCCCTCCTTCCTCATCCCAGCTGAGACACCTCAGACCTCAACTTATTTGCCTTTTTTTATTATGCTCACTGGAAAAAAAAACAACAAAAACCCCTGAAATAATCATGACTTGAATTAGGGTTTTCACAAACACACCAGAGATGTGCAAAAGCCTTTATGTTGTGTAACAGAATACTTCTGACACTATTTACACACCAGAGATGTGCAAAAGCCTTTATGTCGTGTAACAGAATACTTCTGACACTCACTATTCCTGTAAACTTCAATTCACCTTGGTGAAGCACTTTGTCTCAAATTCCACACACACCACGTATCATTTTGTTCCTACAGGTAGAATTAAATTTTAGACCAGTGAAAAAAAGATACCAGGTTCCACACATCTTACTCCTCCTTTCAGCTATAGAAAAAACCCAGCACACTGTTTAGTAGCAGTTTTTCTTCCAGTCACTTGGAAAGTTCTTAGAAGATCACAAATCACTAAAATACTCTATTTCCCATCAATTCCTTGGTGTATCGTTACAGCAAAAAATTGCCAGTCCCAGGCTACTGAAATTCCCACTTGTTACAGGACAACGCATCACTTCTTTTCTTACATCAAAATACATCTGATTTAAAAACGTGTCACAGGAGTACAGCTGTGTGCATGGAAAATATGCAAAGGAAGAGCCTTGAAGTTAATTCTCTCCCTGAGACAAATTTATTCTATGAAAAACGTTTTTTCATGTTACAATCCCACTAGGGATCAAAATTAATTCTGAAGAGAAATAGAAGTTGGGCCAGACAATGACAGAAAACTGCTTTATATTTCAACGTTTCACGATTCCTCTTGGTGGAGAGGAAGGATCAAGGAGCAAGAGAAACGTTTTGTCTTAAAGAAAAGAGCTGAAGGAAACATGAAACCATCTTCATATACTTAAGATTAATTAACTGGAATGCTGAAGTTACCTTAAAGGTCTACAGGAACTCTGGCACTTGTCTAATGCAGGGCAGGTTTCATGGTAATTGTAGTAATTTAGAAGGCAAGGGATGGCAGAAATAGCGGTGCTGGGTCGTAATAACCATTTTCACATGAAGTGCGCATCCATCATTATACCAATTACATACTAATTATACGATGCCTGATAAATTTTGCTGTTAGTAAGCCATTCAAAGTGAATAAACTTTGTTTTTTCTTAAACAGCTAAGCAGCTGACAGCTTAACGCCTCGTATACATACTATTCTTTAACCAATCTAACAATCTGGCACGTTTAAAAGACCTCAAAAGAAAGGAAAATGTCTCCAACATAAAGGCTTACACCTATCTTTGATTTATCAAAACCTATGTTTCCCATGCAGAATATAAATCAGAAGTTTCACACCAAAACAGAACCACCTATGTTGCTGCTGTGTTTTCTACAGAAGGGACTTCTATTTGGATGAGAATGAAAGAAAACACTAACAAATAACTATTGCAGATTTTTACTGAGCATAATTCATAGGAGCTGAATTTCCTTTAGCACTAACTTGATTAGAAATCTTGACCGTTTCCCATGCAGAATATAAATCAGAAGTTTCACACCAAAACAGAACCACCTATGTTGCTGCTGTGTTTTCTACAGAAGGGACTTCTATTTGGATGAGAAAGAAAGAAAACACTAACAAATAACTATTGCAGATTTTTACTGAGCATAATTCATAGGAGCTGAATTTCCTTTAGCACTAACTTGATTAGAAATCTATCCCCTTACAAGGTGAATTAGAGCTCTTAATTATTCCACTTTTTCCCCTGTTAATGAAATGGGTGTCATTAGTGAGGCCTGTCAGCTACGCTTATGTGCAAAGAAATGATTTGACACTGCTTTTGTCATCTAATCCTTTCAGGAAAAAACAGTCTGAACATCACTCAAAACACTGTAAATAAAAATCCTTGAAGACAAAGAGGACAGATGGCAACTCTCTCAAGGAACACCATCTAAAATATTCATAGTTTAGGAGGAGAGGACTGTTGAACCCGTGAACAATCAATACATTTGAATCTTACAAGAAACAAACAAAAAAAAAACCAAAATATTTTCTGTTCATGAAATGAGGAAAGAGCTCTGTAGAGATATTCCTATTTGCTCATGACTTCTTGTATTCAGTGGATCTACATGCTGTGGAACTCTCACTATCAGCATCCAGAGGCAGGGGGCATAAAATAAATGTGACCTACAGGCAGTTTTGTTGCAAGGCTCAATTATCACTCCTAGCTAATTATCAGCCCTAGCTACTAAAGCAGCTAAAACATTTCAGGCAAGCTTATAACCTGGAAGACTTCACTGTTACTGCAATTTCACAAGAAGAAGCCTTGTCCATCCCTCCCTTTCCTTCTCCTCCCATTTTAACTACAATTCAAGACTGTTAAAACGTCAAGTGTTACACTTAATAGCTTCCTTTGGTAAGAGTTAATTTGAAACAAATGTTATTGGTAGACGCATGAAGCTACAAACTACTGCTGAAAAGACAACTACAGCAAGAGACACAACAGTGAGATGTACTAAAGACTTGAAATCAAAAGGAAACAAATCAAAATGATAACACAAAACAAGGGGAAAACACTATAGTACGGAAACTGCCGTCTGTCTCTTCAAAACAAGAGCTGCCATGAAGACAATGTATAGTTACCTGCATCCATATCTGCAAAGAATGGAACAGCCAGTAAGGAAAAGAAGGAACCAGAAATTCAGTGTCTCAGAGTTGGATTTAAAAATTCATAAGGAGAATAGATAAAAAAATAAATAAATCAAAAAGTATTTAGTGTAAGTAAGATACACCTCTATAAGGAACTATGATATTTTTGGTCTCAAGCTATAAACTTGGATTAATGTTAAACACTACAGCGTTTTCAGGTAGAAATGAATTTTCTGTAGAATAAGAAAAATTTTTTTTTAAAAAACCAAACTTCACGAGCAAAGATTTAATATATTAAACAAGGAACAAGTTACATCTTTAGTTTAAGCTTGTGAAGTTTATTTATTCTCCCAACACCACAAACCAAAGGGCCTGATTCTGCAGAAATCCAGTGCTAGGTACAGAAATGGGGGCTTTCAACAGCCCAGCTGAAAGCAGCAGCACGACTGAGAGCAATCAACTCTTCTCCATGCAGGAACAGAAGCTCCCCATAGGATGCCCTAAGTATTTAAGGATGCTAAGCAGTCATGAAAAAGGTACAATTATACTCATCATATACTTATTTTAGTCTGGAGAACGTTAAAGCAAAAAATCTCCACGAACGCTGAAATAGTAAGTTGGATTCTTTACTGATTCATTTCTGCGTGATTATAAATGAATAAAGATGTAGTTTGTGGAAAAAAAAAATCATAGGGAAATTTGAATATCCATGTACCTTCAGGTGATTCCTCTTGGACATAGGTGCCAGTCAGGTACCGGTGTACAAGCGCAGACTTGCCACTGGCTAGGTTGCCCACAATCCCCTGGAGACAAAAAAAAGGAGAAAGTTAAACTCTAATTAATCCCCACAAAGCAAAAATATTCAAGCAAAATCTTTAAGGCAGATATAACTTCTCTGCACTCAAGGAGAAAGCCCACATAATAAAAACACACTGAAATACACCAAACAGAGAAAAATATCCGCCAAAAAGTTAAGGCTATAGGAGAGCACATCCATGACAACATGTATAAACCAAAACTAGTTTATGTTAGTGGTGCTCCTTTATTCACCTCACCACTAATGCTAATGGGAACATCAGGCAATATATAGAATTTGGGGAAGAAGCTTGGAGCAAGCTTGCCACCTCCTTACTGAAAAACATGTAGTTTATGTTAGTGGTGCTCCTTTATTCACGTCCCCACTAATGCTAAGTGGGAACATGAGGTAATACATAGATTTTGGGGAAGAAGCCTGAAGCTCGGAGCAAGCTTGCCACCTCTTTACTGAAAACCAGAAAAACATCACTAAAATCTCACACTGGAAATCTCATACTCACACGGACTCACTACTTAAGCACACAGGTGATACATACATGTCTACACACTGATAGATCTTGGCACGTTAACATGACTTGAAGTCCTTTACCAACAAGCTTACAACTCCAACCACCCGTGCCCAAACATCTGCAGCACTGGGAGCACCTGACCATCAAGTAGAAGAACTCAATTTTAAAGCACAAGTGGTTTTTTTCTCATTAGCTAACATTCATTTTTAAAAACCCAGGCAGGAACAGTAGAATACAGCCCATCACCAAAACAGCTTTCTTCCCCATCAAGTAGAAGAACTCAATTTTAAAGCACACGTGGTTTTTCTGGTTAGCTAACATTCATTTTTAAAAACCCAGGCAGGAACAGTAGAATACAGCCCATCACCAAAACAGCTTTCTTCCCCGAGGTGCTCAAATGCCAAAGACTCAGAAATTTGCCTTTTTTGCTTCTTTAAAAGGGGTGCCAGGGAGCTATGAACACAACTCTGAGAACATTGTACTCACTCTGGTTTTGGGGGAGGAGATGGGAACGTATTTTGTCCTTTAAACAAACCTAAGCCTACGCCGTTCTTACATGTTTATCTTGACTCTAACCAAAAGGTTCAGAACATAAGATCCCTGGAGACAGAATGAACTCTGCTGATCTGAGTTCACCAGATGACAGAGGCAGCATGAATAAGTCACACATTAATAGGCACTTCCTACTCCATTTTCATAAACCTAATTGGTGAGCTACTCTCCCCCTTATCAAAAACTCCTGAAACCAGCACAGTGGTGCCACCTTGAACTAATCTAATGACAGGCTGGGGGTGGGGGGGTGGTATGTGTAGAGGGAAGAGGGAGCAAAACAATTATTTATTCTCTACAAGCAAGAACAACCTTTAATTAAAACAAGGGTAACAGTGCTGCAAAGGATGCCCACTTTATCTCTAGGGCTGATGTGCAAGAACAGCTCAGATAAAGCAGCAACTCAGGCAGAGAGCACTTGGAAGGCACCTGCATCACCCACCAGCCCCTACAACACCATAGAATCACAGAATGGTTTGGGTTGGAGGGGACCTTCAAGATCATCCAGTTCCAACCCCCTGCCCTGGGCAGGGACACCTCCCACCAGAGCAGGTTGCTCCAAGCCCCATCCAGCCTGGCCTTGAACCCCTCCAGGGATGGGGCAGCCACAGCTTCTCTGGGCAACCTGTTCCAGGGTCTCACCACCCTCACAGCAAAGAATTTCTTCCTGAGATCTCATCTCAATCTCCCCTCTTCCAATTTAAAACTGTTCCCCCTCATTCTATCAGTACACTCCCTCATAAAGAGTCCCTCCCCGGCTCTCCTGGAGCTTCCTTCAGGTACTGGAGGACCAAGATCTTCCCGTTGCCTTCTCTTCTCCAGGCTGAACACCCCGAGCTCTCTCAGCCTGTCTTCACAGCAGAGGTGCTCCACCCCTCTGAGCATCTCCATGGCCCTTCTCTGGACCCGTTCCAACAGGTCCATGTCCTTCCTGTGTTGAGGACTCCAAAACTGGACACAGTGCTCCAGATGAGGGTCCCACCACAGCGGAGTAGAGGGGCAGAATCACCTCCCGTGACCTGCTGGCCACACTTCTCTTGATGCAGCCCAGGATGGGGTTGGCTTTCTGGGCTGCCAGCGCGCACTGCCGGCTCATGTTGAGCTTTTCATCCACGAGCACTCCCAAGTCCTTCTCCTCAGGGCTGCTCTCCAGCCTCCATCCAACCTGTATTTGTGCCTGGGATTGCCGTGTCCCAGGTGCAGGACCTTGCACTTGGCTTGGTTGAACTTCATGAGGTTTGCACGAGCCCACCTCTCCAGCCTGGGCAGGTCCCTCTGGATGACATCCCTCCAGTGTGTCAACTGCACCACATAGCTTGGTGTCATCGGCAAACTTGCTGAGGGTGCACTCAATCCCACCATCCATGTCTCTGACAAAGATGTTAAACAGCACTGACCCCTGAGGAACATCACTCGTCACTGGCTTCCACTTGCACATTGAGCTGTTGACTGCAACCCTTTGAGTGTGGCCATCCAGCCAGTTCTTTATCCACTGAGTGGTCAATCCATCAAATCCATGTTCTCCAATTTAGAGACCAGAATGTCGTGCAGGACGGTGTCAAATGCTTTGCGTAAATCCAGGTAGATGATGTCTGTTGCTTTCCTCTTATCTACCAATGCTGTGGCAATATCGTAGAAGGCCACCAAGTTTTTCAGGCATGACTTGCCCTTAGTGGAGCCATTTTCCACGTGCCTCATGAGATTCCAGGAGGATCTGCTCCACGATCTTGCCAGGCACAGAGGTGAGACTGACTGGCCTGTAGCACATCTCGCCTTCTTTTTTCCCTTTTTGAAAATGAGGTTGTGTTTCCCCTTTTCCAGTCAGCAGGAACTTCACCAGACTGGCACAACTTTTCAAATATAATGGAAAGCAGCTTAGCAACTTCATCTGCCAGCTCCCTCAGGACCCATGGATGCATTTCATCATGGACTTATGTACCTTCAGGTTCATTAGATGGTCTTGAACCTGATCTTCTCCTACAGCGGGCAGTTCTTTATTCTCACAGCCCCTGTTTTTGCCTTCTGCAATTTGGGCGGTGTGGTTAAACCCCTTGCTGGGGAAGATGGAGGTGAAAAAGTTATTCAGTACCTTGGCCTCCATATCCTGGGTGACCAGGTCTCCTGTTTCCTTCCAGAGAGAGCCCACATCTTCCCTAGTCTTGCCTTTATTTCTGACATACAATTTTTTTTTTTATCCTTGATGTCCCTGGCCAGATTTAATTCTCTCTGGGCTTTAGCTTGCCTAATTTGGTTCCTGGCCACTCAGACAGTTTCTCTGTATTCCACCCAGTCTACCTGTCATTGCTTCCACCCTCTGCAGGCCTCCTCTTTGCTTTTGAGCTTGTCCAGGAACTCCTTGCTCACCCATGCAGGCCTCCTGGCTTTTTTGCCTGACTTCCTCGTTGGGATGCACCACTCCTGAGCTTGGAGGAGATGACCCTTGAATATTAACCAGCTTTCTTGGGCCTCTCTCCCCTCCAGTATGTTACCCTGCCAGTCAGGTCCCTCAAGAGGCCAAAGTCTGCTCTCCTGAAGTCCAGGGTAGTGAGCTTGCTATGCACCTTCCTCACTGCCCTCAGGATCTTAAACTCTACCATTTCATGATCACTGCAGCCAAGGATCCCCTTGAACTTGACATTCCCCACCAGCCCCTGCTTATTGGTAAGGACAAGGTCTAGCGTGGCTCCTTTCCTCATTGGCTTCTCTACCATTTGAAGAAGAAATTTGTCACCGACATATTCCAAGAACTTCCTAGATTTCTTGTGCCCTGTTGTGTCGTCCTTCCAACAGATATCAGGGTGGTTGAAGTCCCCCATGATAGCCAGGATCTGTGAACACAATGCTGTTCTTGTCTGTCTATAGAGGGCCTCATCCACTCCGTTGTCTTGGTCAGGAGGTCTGTAGCAGAACCCCCAGATATCAGGGTGGTTGAAGTCCCCCATGACAGCCAAGATCTGTTGGAATGCTGTTCTTGTCAGTCTATAGAGGGCCTCATCCACTCCACTGTCTTGGTCAGGAGGCCTGTAGCAGACCCCCACTGTAACATCACCTGCCCCTGTGCTCCCTTGAATCTTGACCCATAAGCTCTCCATTGGGTCTTCATCCATCCCCAGGTGGAGCTCCATGCACTCCAGCTGGCCATTGACATAGAGGCCAACAGCCCCTCCTCATCTCCTCAGCCTGTCCTTCCCCAAGAGTCTGTATCTCTCCATTCCAGCTCTCCAATCATAGGAGCCATCCCACCACGTCTCTGTGACGCCAACAAGATCATAGCACATAAGATCAAACCACCACATGAAATTAAAATTTGGCAGAATTGGCCTTCTATTATGCAGTGCAGTGCTGGGCATTACTGCGCCGGGTCAGAGCACACTATTAACCTCTGAAAATTAGGAGAAATAAACTTTACACCAGAAAAATCTTAATTCCAATACAATTACTTTCCTAATGAGGATTAATACTTGTTTTAAGGATGATCCCTCACAGTATGGCAAATATGCCAGCGTGTTTTCAGAGTAGTCATCTTCCTGTCACGTTTTATATACAAACAATCTGAGTCATTTCTGTTTGTTTATGGATAGATCTGAAATGCAGGCAGTTATGACAAGCATGTTAGGGAACAAAAATACCACCCCAAGAAACGAGAAAGTTCAACTGACAAGGCTACAACGCAATGCTCTGTCAGTTACGACTCGTGCAACACTGAATCATTTATTTGCATGTGCCAGCTAAAATAAATCCAAACAACTCAGCCCTCATCCTACTAAAGCCCGTTTGTAAAAATGCATAAATGTATCGCTGGAATTTGGCAATTTTAAAGCTATCCAGCACAGAAGCCCGACTGCGCTTTGCATATTTTTTTTGGAACAAATTAAAATTATTTTGTCCAAAAACATCTTGTATTTATTCTGTCTAACACATCCTTATCT